AACAAAATATAAAATCAAATTGTTTAACAGTTTCATTAAACTGCATGCACCCTGCAAGCGCGTTAGCAAAAAGTCCGTGTATATTTACATTAATATCTGCACGTATGTAAATGGTATTTGAATGGAATAATAATAAAATGAAACTTTTCCTGTAAAATGATAGTAATGATGAAAAAGCTGTTTACCAGGCATGAGATACTGCATATTAAGAGCCTCCTCTCTTTCTCGCTCGCCGCGCAAGCAAATGGCGGCCGATGAAAACAAAATGGCCGACAGCAGCGACAAACCGACGCCACACCACGCGACTATGTACGACCAGTCGTACCAAACGCGAGCGTTATCTCGCAATATCTGGTTTATACCAAGATATTCAGCATCGAGGAATGTTGTGTAGGTGTGTGTACAGTATTCATCAAGTGTATGTATGTACAGATATGTTTGTGTTGAAAATATGAAATAGGTTATGTTAATCATGTAGAATGTACAATCCCAGAGAAGATGTTAGTGTTATTTGTAAGTAGAAAGCGTATTAGTTCCGTACAACATGGGGTAAACCAGATATATTAAGATATAGCGCGATTATTGATTGATTGCGTTAGGGACGATCGTACATTGGTCGTTTCGTTATACGCAGTAGCCACGTTTCATAGAAACATGAAAAGAAAGAGAAAAGCATTTTGTTAGTGTGAGATACTTACACATCAAACAATTTAGTTATAGTTTAAATTATCCTTTCATATGGGATCTTCTAAACCATAAAATAAATGGCTATAAACCACGAGAAACATTTTTCTTTCGACTTTTGCCTATGATTTTAAATGTTTATACAAATATGAAACCAATAAAAATATATATTCATCCAGGATCAATAAATACACAAGAAGTCCACCATCTGAAAGTCAAAACATTCCAAAACCGTGAAGCGTTAATCAACCACCGAGTTGTCAAGATGGCGGCCGCAATGGCGGTCTGACCTGGCATTATGTACTGCACGTTATTCTGTTGCTCGCGGCGCTTCTCTTTGCTGAGGCAAATGGCCGCCGAGAAGAATAATATGGAGCTTCCGAAGGAGACACCGACGGCTAACCAAGCGAGTATGTACGACCAGTCGTACCAAATCGCTGAGTTGTCTTTTAATACCTGTCGTGAGTTTTGTTACACGCTACGTATTAATTATTGTATCATCTATTGTCATTTGTATTAATTACTAGCATTCGCCCGCGACTAAGTCTGCGTGGAATTAAAAGAAAAAACAAAATTGAGTAGTCTATGTGTTCTTCCAAACTATCCTCTACATCTACACCAAATTTTATCATAATCCGTTCAGCAGTTTAGGCTACAAACTATAACAAACATCCATCCATCCATCCATTTAAACTATCACATTTATTATATTAAGCATGAAGTATGATATAAGATTGAACTGACTGGTCCATTTAGAGATTGTTTTCACATCTGCATTTCTGCTTTCGATCCTAAACTCACTTACTTCCAGTTACCTAATATCCTGTGAAAAAGTTCACTCAAGACTAAATCTCTGGTAATCTTTAAGCGTACAGCGTGACAACTTACATTGGGCCACTGCTGATAGTATTCCTCTCCTACGACCTTCTCCTTCTCGTAAAACTCCACTCCGTGCCACAGAGCCATAGCACCTGCAGCCAGCAGACCTGAAAATACAACACAAACTCATAAGGATCACTTTTTAATGTTTTTCAATCCTAAATAAGATCTTTAGGTTTCTGAAATTTAAATAAAAATTGTTTAAGTCGTGAAGATTTCAATAGTAAAATCTTAATAGAGTACTTTCATGTCGTAAACGAATAGTCAAATCCGATAGAAATGAGAAATTATAACAAACCTATCAACAACTCTATACCTTTATAAGGCTTTAATCAGAAACTCACTAAAATATGTATGTATCATCAGTTTTAACACGGTTTTTAAAATCCATAGATATACAAATGACATTGTCAGCCAGTGAAATCTTCTTTACATACAATAAAATTGGAGTGTCTGTCTGTAATATCAAAAGAAAAATTCCATATTTCGGGAAGATGATGTATTTGCGTTGCTAATAACGAAAATCGCATTTAAAAATGTTTTGTCTGTCTGTCTGCAAGCCGCGTTTGTTCCGTGTAATATCCGAAACGGCTGGGCCGATTTCGAAGGGATTTTCATTTAAGGGTAGCTGACATTGACGGGCATATTACAGGCTACTTTTTATCTTAGTATTGCATGGACGAAGTCGCAGGTAACAGCTAGTGGACAATATAATTTCTCATATCCATTGAATTCGTCTTTAGATTTAAATGGTACTCTTGAAGAATGGTATTGCTATTAAATTTTAAAAGGCGCAGTCTTGGCAGTTCTATAAAGTATTATATTGTAATAGTATTGGCGTTGGCTCAACATTACAGAATGATTTGAACGGAAGCAAGCCATGTGGAAGTCATATTTAAAGATGTATTAAGAATGTTCTTCAATAAAACATTTATTTTTAAGTGTGATCGTTCATTACCAAATTGTTGATTCTTTAAAAGAATTTATATGTTAAATTAAAAATTAATATACGACGTACCTTGTAATGTTACTTAATATCTATACTATTATAATAAAGCGTAAACACACACTTCTTTGTTTTCTAAGATGTCAGCAATTACAGCTTATTTTTGAATAATACTTTTTTTAATAAAAAGCCCTACACTTACGTCACTTTTTAGGCTTTATATTTTCACGCCATTAAACTAAGGGTGTAAATATTTTTGATAAAACCCTCATGTGGGAAAGAGACCATAAGTTGCTACCAAGAAAGAAAGATTGAAAAGATTTGTCATGTCATGACATTTTGACATTTGCTTTTGATAATTTGACAAATGTAAACAAAATAAAATTTTCATAATTACACGCGGATGAAGCCGCACGGGAACAGTTGTTTATACAAGTATTTCCTTGATTTCTAGAAATTAATTCTTATTTTAATTTTTGCATAGGGCGGTAATAACATCGGCGGATGTGTAATAATTATAATACAATGCATGTAATATAAGGTGTGGGCAGAACTATAAGCGTCTATCTCGATATAAATGGCGCCTTGAATGTTTCGTGACGTCAGAAAATATTTACATCATTGTTAGACTGATTATTCAAAGTATGCATCAAGTGCGATAAAACAATATGCAAAGACATTTGAATATGACTCCTTAATATTTGTTTTATTTTAGAATACTCT